CTCGGGCCCGCAGCCGCCCGGAGGAGAGGAGCCGCGGGGCCGTGCCCCCGGGCAGCCGAGGCCGCCTGGTTGCCGCGTTGCTGAGAGCGGCTCTGGGCACTCGGGGAAACGAGCGGTTTTATTCCCCGTGACGCAGGAGAAAATGTTGCAGTTTTGTGATGAGTGTCTCTCTTGCTTTTTACTCCTAATTATTCCCTGTATTTGTCTCTGCATGCATGTTGTTTTTTTTCCTGTACAGAAACTGAATTGGGGCAGAATCCTGTCTTTATGCAGTACCTGGTTATGACCAGTTATTATTAATAATTTCTGCTCCGTAGAGCTTGGAATCAAAAGAAAAAATATGCAGATTAGCAAATCAAAGGTACAGGGAGGCAGGAAGTGTCCATTTGACACCTCACTTTATCAGTTACAGACTCATTGGAAAAGGTTCAGATTAGTACAGTAGTATAATCAAAGGCCCAGAAAATGCAGTTAGCGAGGAAAGACAAACAATTGGATTTGTTTTGGCCACAGGGAAGGCATAAATTATAATTCCACTAGATACACTGAGTTGGTTAACATCTTCCCTCGGGAAAAAAATAGAGGGTCCTGCACCATCTCCTCTTTCATCTCCTCCACACTTGGTAAAAATAGGTAATACCATATTGTGTTTAAGGAAAAACAGAGAATGTGGTAGGCAAAAATTGGCAATTTTTCTTTAAGCAGTCTTTCTGACTTGTTCTTCCTTGCAGAAGCAGTAGCGTTGTACATATTCTTTTTCCAAAACATATCTCGTATATAACCATACTCCTGTCAGAAGACCTCTGTCAAGAACAGTATATGTGATCAGGTCTTCAAATCTGAGATTATTCTTTTGTGGCAATACGTCTGCTTGTGTAACAGAGTAGTACTTTGCAGCATAAGCAGGGTTATTCCCTAAATTAGCATTGCTTCAAAATATAACTAAGTGCATACAGAATCACTACATTTTTTTTTCCTTTTAATATTCAGTCATGGGTGATGAGTCAGTACCATTTTTGCTGGACCAAGGAACCACTAAAACATATCAAATACCTATTGGTCATCTGGACTACAGGTTCATTGAAAAATGCACCGACGTTAAACACCTGGAAAAGATTCTAAGGGTCTTAAGGTAAACATTATGTTTTCATAACTTCATTGCTAATTCTGTTCTTGCTCTGTAAAATTCAAAGGAACCTGTACCTAAATACTCTATTTCTCTTGAACCTCTTTGTGACTTCCTAATTTAGAAATTAAAATACAAAGTTAAATTAATAATGTTAAAAGTGTCCAAATGAAATCCAAGTCCTGTTTTAACCATCCAGAAGGTGTGAGTAACTCAATTCCAGGTTTTTCTCAAATGCTGCTGCTGGATTTTGGTTCTGTTATGAAGCCATCTTGCCTGACTGTGGTAATTTCAGATGATATACCTGTTTTATGAGCACCGTGATGATAATGTTGAACTGTGAATGTGTCCATTGGAAAGTGGTTGAAGGTTAACTCACTGGAATTTTCTGATCAAAATGTTATTGGGTGATACTAGAATTCAGTTGTAATAGGAAAAATGTCCCCCACAGTCACTACACAGAGACTATACATGCAGAGAAATATGAAGGACGCAGTGCAGTTTAGTTCTTTTTCATAACTTTTATATCTTGGTGTTATATAGGTCTGGTGAAGAGGGATGTTATCCTGAACTTACATCATTTTGTGAAAAGCGTATTGAGCATTTAGATCCAAGGAGCAGAGCTCTGAGAAAAGATAAGCCTGCAGCCACAGCTTCTGATTTCACAGCTGAAGAATGGGAAACAATTAACAGTGAACTGATGGTACAGTATAACTAATTTATAATGGTCAGTAATATAATCACTTTGGTGTATCGAGCTTCCTCTCCTAGTGCCCAAGTAGAACGTAATTATTTGATTAAATGAGGAAATGATCAAAGGATTATGTTGGGGCTTTTTATTATTTTCTTGCCTTAATGACACTGAATCTTCAATGCTCATTTTAACTCTACAGATTTTTTGTAGATTACTTTTTATTCAAAGAAGCATGATTGCTTTTTGTCTTAATTACTTTTCCCCATTAAGAGCAGTGCATTATAAGGATAGTTGTTAGGGTCATTGTAGACTAGGAAGTATATGTGCTCTACTGCTTTAAGGTACAGATATATAGTTTATTTATTTTCAGAGCTGGGTGACAGAAATGAATGAAGACTATAATAAACCACAATTCCTGAGAACGGACGCACTGCATGAAAGACAAGACAACTTGCCTCCTATTCGTTGTTCCAGCAGCTGTCTTCCTGCTAATCAGGTATCTCCAGTTTTCTAATGTATGTTAATTATATGTCTTTCTAAAGTCGGGCAATTTTATATGTACAAACTTCTCGTCATTGAGCCTTTCTTCCTCAATTTATTTTGTTAACCAGAAAGTAAAAATCTTTAAGTTCCTTGCAAGAGACCAATGCTTAAACAGAAGTGCCTTCTTAGTACTAGCATGTGTCTTGTTTTAATTCTGATAAAGAATTAACTTTTGGAGCAAATCTTAAACACCCTTTTATGTTCTTTGATTCACATTTGAAAGAGGGGTTTAAGTGTATGAACTAGGTTCTTTCTGGATGAAATTATGCCATGAGCTTTTTCTCCATCTGCCAGTAGGCTTTTGTTCCATGAGACCGGGCAGGAGCTGCTCCAACATAAATACCCTGAAACACATACAGTGTTGATGTTGGACCCTCTGCACCAAATTTTTCACCCTATAGCCACTTTTATATTGGGTTGTACTGGTGTATAGCCTTTGATTTCCCTTATTTTGTACCTTGAGTTGGTATTCTAGCTCTAGCCTTAAAGCTTAGTTAACAAATCTTTAGATCTACAGAATAAACATTTACATTTCTTCCTAGGTATTGGTTTCCTCCTGTTTTGGTGTAGTTTGTTTTTGGGGTTTTTTTTCCATTTATTTGTCTGCCTGAAATCTGTTTTGTCTGTGACCAGCTTTTCTTACTAATACTAAATGAAGTGCTATTGGAGGGATTTGCAGAAAAGTAGGTGTGGGATGGGATTTTTTTGAATTGTCAGATGTTGTCATGGATGGCTTCACTCTGATTCCCACTATTTTACTTGGAGTTCTGTGACACTGTTAGAACAAATTCACTGACGGATTTTTCTTTTTGGAAGTTTGGAAGTGAGAAATGTTACGAAAGGATTCTTACAGGTCGTGATATTTCTTATTAATTGTTAATTTGACACATTTTATTGGAATAATTATTTATTAGTAAATGCCTGATTTGTGTTCCTGTGTTGTCAGAAACTATTTCTTATTGTCAGCTGGTACTTAGACATCAGACCAAGACATCTGGGATAACTAGGCACTCTCCATTATGTGGTATACAAAGAGGCTGGGAATTCCAGTGTAATGCTTTATAAGTGGTTAGTATTGAGACTAAGGAGTGCTTTTGTTTTGTTTTTCATTAATCTGTCCTCTTTCACATTTTGCAATGTGTGTTCCTCTTGACTATCCTATTTTGCTGAATGAAGAATGTCACTGGAGCTTTACTCTTGATTTATGTCCTGTGTAAGTGTTTACTAGAACAGAAAATGGTAAATAAAATATCATGTGAACTCAGTGATCCAGATTAGAATAGAAGCATAAAATGGTGGAAAGTGGCTTGAAATCTAGGATGTACAGTTTTAGTAAAGAAGATGTGTTCTCCATTCAAAGACAAAATATTTATTCTGATGTTTTTTTTTTCCTACTTTAAGCCATGCAACAGTCTTCAGGTCAAGTTCTTATTGCTTTTTCTCCCTACAAGGTTTAGGTGTTAGCATTGTTACCCCGGAAACCGAGGTACAGCTTTGTGCCTTATCTGTGGTATCCTTTTGTCCAAGCAGACAGCCTCTGAAGTAATTGTAACCTGTCCTGGGAGAAGAAAGAGAGGCTTGAAACCGAGTTTTAGAATTCGGTCTTTTTATGTAGCAAAGCAGTAATACCACTAGGAGATCACTACTGAAGAAAAAGAAGCTGTTTCTATAGTATGCACTAAATTTATACCTGTAATATGAAATATATAAAAAAACCTGATTAATATATTTAATCAGTTTTTATTTCTTTTCTTTCTTGTTGATAAAGCTATGTGTAATCTTACGATTTTTAAACATGTTTTGCTAATCAGGATATTTTTTACACTGGCATCACAGAATTTTGTAATGTGGTATTAAGTATAAAGTTGTCATGATAAATTTCTCCTCTCTGCTAGAAAGAAATCCACAAACCCTTCCATAATTTTATGTTGTTATTTCATTGGAGACTGTTATCTGATCTGATGCATAAAAAGTTTAGTATCTTCAGCGAAGCCAAATCCGGAAATACTTACTGACCCTAAAACAGTGCATTGCACCAATGAGTGCAAGTTTGGTAAATGGAAGCATCTTGTGTCTGTAACCACATTTTCTTTCTGATACTAAATGTAGGTACTTTCAATTCACTAATAGCTTTTAACTCTATATTGTGTTTTCTTCTTATTGGTATGAATTCATGGGGAAGATTTTCCAAAAATGGATAGAAAAAGAGTGTAATAAAACACAAATGGAAGTTTCTGGTTTACACCCCTGTTTTTCTTTCACACTGCCCAGGACTTCGAGGTTATGTTAATACTGCAAAATAAGAGGGAACTAGAGAGACAGCTTGAGTTTTTCTGTTCTTAACTGGCCACGTTGCTTAATTATTATTTTTGCTGCCTCACTTTTTCCAGGACAGAACTAAAGCATGGGTTTAAAGATGCTTCCAAAAGACTGCATTGAGGGGATTTCAGCAGACTTGGGTTGCTTTGCCAAACACAGTTTCCTAATACCATTCCAGAAAGATTTCTGTCCTCAGGTACCTCCTCATGCTACAGTCCAGGGCATGCAACACACATTACAAGTTTTATGTTCTAAAAATCCACTGTGATGGTATCTATATAGCCTTCATATTATTTTGGATACTCTGAACAAAAAAGAATACTGGTTAGCTGACATAGGATAGTAATGTGCTAGGCCATCACACAGGGCCAGAGGAGAACCAAGGCCAAATTCTGTGTCACCTGTGTGGAGGCCAGTCTGTGCTTTGATCTTTGGTCCAGAAATTGTTCTCTGGGCTTCAGACCCTGTGGGATCCATGCATTGTCAGTTCTGGCAAGAAAACTGACAAGGGCACAGATTCTATTTTTATTTTTTTTAGTTCCACAGCACACAAACGTACATTTTTCATCCAAGCCTCTTGGATGAGATGCTCTGAAATATTACTGATTGAGAAATTCCTGACTCTGCTGGAGCTGCAACTTGGTTACAATGGTCCCAAGAATGTAAGACCTAGAATTTTAAAAATTGTACATTTTTGAGTCAACACTTCTGCCTTTTCCCTAAAAGGACATGGCTGTAGTTCTCTCCCTAAAGTTGCATCAGTGTAAACACCTTATGAGTTTTCTTCTGAGAGTTTCACTGTTTTGTGCTCACTTAAGCAATTCTGGTTTGAAAAAAAAGATTTGATACTTATTAAATTAGTAAGTTTGTAATATGCACGGGGATGCACACATAATGATAACTCATGTTTCAGGAAGCTGTATGTAGGAGTTACCTCCTCCAAACACATGCTGATCACTAAATGTATTTGTGGGCTAACTTCTTGAAAGACTGAGAACATTAAGAGTACTTCTGAAGCTATATACTATAAAAGTTTGTGTAACCTAACAGTATAGATAGTCAGAAGTGTTTACAGGAAGAATCAGGTTTGCATTATGTAAATTGAGGTGTTTACATCCAACTGCAGAAGTAGTTCCTTGTTACAGTGTCACCACTGGTAAAGCTAGTTTAAGAACTTGCTGCTTGTTTCTTTGGTCCAGTTTATCGCATGCTCAGTTGAACTGGTACAGATATTTAGGGATTGTACTACAATTTCTATCAGTGGTTTGTCCGAACCCAGGTAATTGTAAATCTGCAACTCAACAAACAATTACATTGGTCTAACTCAGGGAATGATGGATTGCAAGGTAAGAGGAGGGCTGAACTGCCAGGACAGAGTAGATGGGAATATTTTGAACTGGCTGTTCCACTGTGGAATACCTGTTTGGAACCACACCTTGCTATGAAGTGTTGTTTAAGTCAACAAGCAGGGAGGGACATACCAGAAATACAGTCTCATGACAGAGGCAGAAGAGATGCCAAAGGTGCCTGCGATGGAAATAGGTTCCATTGCTGTAGCAGATGGGGTGCGATACAAGTCAGTTGAATCTGTTATTGGGACTGATTGTTGCAGGAAGGTCCTAGGGTTAGATTTTAGGTAAGGTAAAACTCAATGATGGAGCTTGTTTAAAAGCTAGAATGAGTGTAAATAATCTTGAGAATTAGCTTGAGTGGAGTGTGAAACAGTCAAAAGAAGTCCAGACACTATTTTGCAGTCCAGCATTTCTAAGTTTGTTGCGAGGGTTCCAGGGACTGTCAAAACCTGTACATTGCATTCTCTTGGGAATGGTAAGCCTAGAACCAGGTTACTGATTGAATCTCAGTGTCAAACACCTCATCACAAAGCTAGGTTTCCCCAAGACTGAGTTCTCCCTTGCTGTGCTGAAAGGATGCTTTAGAAGTTGCCAGCGCAAGATACTAATTAGGAAGAGCAGTTTCTGCAAGTTTCAGTCAGTGCCTCTGACGTGTAACAGGGCAGTGGAGAGAAGGTGTGACACTGAAGAGCTCCTCAGATTACAACGATATGTGAGAGACATGAAAATTTGCTTTAAGCATTTAAGAATTAAGACAAATCAAGTTTTCAAGTCTATGCTGAGATTAGTCATGAATCGCGTTAGTTACTAGGAACATGTACTGCAGAAACAAAAAAAAAAGCTGTGAATTTACAGTTTAGAAAACTGTCTTACAGGCTGGCTGTTTCTCTTTCAGAACAAAAAGTCACAAAACAAACAAAGAAACAAGAAAAACATACCACGGGATTACAGTGAATGGGACAAGTATGTTAAATCCTTTATATTTAAGATTTTATTAATTCTTATTTATTTGTTTAATAATGGAACATGGTGGTTGTTTTTCAGAGTATTTTCCAGAAACAAAGTATTGAGGTCAGCATTTCAGGAAATTGTAACACTTCGGTGAAACAGGTTTTTCAAAATAAATGTGCTGTTAAAATGCAAATGATGCTTCATGTTGCTAACAGCTGAGAACAAGCTAGTCTATAGGTCTGTACAAGCTGCATGAAATACAGCAAGTTAGTAGAAAAATAAAAAGTGATTTTGTTTCATATTTCATTTTTCCTTTCAACATCTAAGATATAAAATCTATGGAGGTATGTAAAACCAAGGAATTACAATTAGCTTAATTTATCAGTTTTTTGAAAGCACTTCTAAGGTTATTTAACATGGGCTTATACATTTGATCTTCTGTGTATATAAAGCTGCAATTCTAAATTAAAAACAAAACTGATGAATCCATATTCCTTCACTGAGCCCCACTGACCTCAAAGAATGATCTTGAGGCAGGTGCATCAGTTTGCTCAGATTCAGTTACACATATTCAGAGGTTTAGACAGTAACTGACTATTCCTGGAGTGCATGGAGTCCTGATAAAAGACACACTCTGCATCATGTAACGGTGGCATATTACCCTCCCAAGCGATGTGACAGATTAATGCCCCCAAATTGTTGAACACAGAGGGGGAAATGCACGTACTTCTCTGTTTTGCATGGTAGCAGCTTCTCTCTAGCTCCTGAAATCTGGAATAAGATGCTGTAGAATTAGAGAGAGGAGACACAAGTTTCCAGTGCAGTAGATGGGAAGTTAAATCTAGAGACTTGGGGGTAATGAAACTCTTAATGTCTCACTCTACCCCAAAACCCCTGCAAAAACCCTGTATGCATAAGATGCTGTTCTTCCAAACAGTTATGCATATCAGTTATTTTCATGCATGTATGTTTCAGAAATTGGGGCCTTCCTGCTCAAATGTGGACAAACAAAACAGGTTATCAAAATAACTCATGCGACAATTTATTCTTTCATCCCTCTTTCCTCTGTATCATTTAAAGTTAGGGATTTTGTTTAGTTTTATGTACTCGATCTTTAAGTGCTTTAGCGTGCTGATAATACTACAGTTTGTGAATTTTCCCATATAATGTATTTATTTGGATTATACGAGCATACTGAAGTTGTTTGAAAGAAGTTTTCATCTTTGAAGCATATCGTGTTTTCAGAACATTTTGAGGATAATTTCAAAACCTTCAAATAATTGTTTACACTATCTGAACAAAATGTTTCACTTCATATTTTAAAAACACTTACTTTGAAATGTGGTTAACTTATAGCAAAAAGGTAAAAGTAAGCTAGCAAAAGATCAGGATCAAAATGGAGAACAATTAGTCTTACCTGATAAGGTTTTGAATTGGATAAATTTTCAGAATTGTGTCTCTATTTCAGCTAGAAATTATTCATATTGTCAAGATTATTGTGGAAAGCAAAGGCTATTTTTTCATTAAGTCCTAAACAGAAAGACAGTGAGTGTAGCATTTCCAGATAGTGTAGGAATTGGTTATTACTGTATTTGTTTTATAGGACTATGGCAGCAATATTTATTTGATATAAATTCCTAAATACTGTGTTCAAAACCTGCTTCAGAATAGCCTTGGAAGCATCTGAGACTATTTTGAAATCTCTCTCACATTTACAGTATTAATTACTTTGAAGCTGTTTCTTGGGTATTTTGGCAAGGGTTTAATAGAGATGTTTGATAGGGCTGGGGTTGAGCCTGATGATACTGTTTCTTAAATTTTACCTGTCTTTTTTGGGCAGAGGGTGATGAGGGGAGAGAGACTTTTTCTTGGTTGGGTTTGTTTGATTTTAACCAGAAGGGAGGAGGAAGAGGGGAAGGTAATATATAAGCCTGAGAAGTACACACACAGAGAAAAAGCCCCAATACAAGGAAAGGAGATAAGACTAAACATCTTTTTCCTTACTAGTCCTGGATAATTGAGCACAGCCTTTATCTCTCATTTCCTTTGGTTTATAATGGAAATATAGTATGCCTTTCTGTTAGTAGAGGAGTCTTGCTATGCAGCATTATTGAATTTGTTGGCTTTTATTAATTTAAGGTTTGATGCGGAAGAGGAGTGTTCTAAAATTGATGAAGGATGTAAAGAAAATAACTCAAAAGCAAGATTCTTTTGTAAGCCAAGTCCACCTATAATTGAAAAGAAAATAGACACAACTGGTAATGACTCAGAAACATATTTTTTCTTTAATTGTTCTACTATGTTGTAGAATGTCAATACAAATTGAAGAAGCATATGATAGAGTTAAAAGTGTCTTTATCTATTTTTCAGCCCCTAGAGATGCTAAAAGTTGTTAGGAGGTCAATATGAAGCCATATTTGAAAAAAATCTAGTCTTGGTGTTAATAATCAGTTAAAATATTTATGTTGTGTTTAGGTTGAGAGCGCTAGGTAAAGAAGTAAAGTATACTTCTGCCATTGTAAACCAGTGGTAGAGGTTAGCCAACTGCTTTCATCTTGTGTTCTGAATTGTGTGCCTGTCAGAAAAATCTGGGGGTTTATTATAGAAAATAAAAAACAAATTTGTCTTTTAGTAAGCCATGTTCATATTTTAGCTGACAGTGTTTTGATTGTATCTGTGCAAGTTGTTAGTTGTTGTTATGTATAAATTTTTTTTATAGGCATGACAAAGAAAGAGAAGATTTTTATTGCTACTCGTGAAAAAGAAAAGGGCAATGAAGCCTTTGCCATTGGTGATTATGTGGAAGCAGTGACTTATTACACTCGGTGAGTAAATAGTGTTGTGTTCTTTTATTTAATACTTGCAAATATTATTTTTAGAGCAATGTAATTAAAACAACTTCTTACTGAAGCAACTAGTGACAATAGGATTATTTTCAAAAGGGCAAAAAGATTTGACAGAATACTTAAAGCATGTTGCATCCTGGTATTAATTTATATTTACCAGGAAGAGAAGTGGATAGCAATGGGATGCAATCTGCAGGTGTCACAAACTTCTTCAGATTTTTAAAAACCATTGAGATTTAAGGGCTAGTTTACAAAAATAAAAGGATAAGCAGTATCAGTAGGATTGTCTCAATTATTAATAAGTAAAATTGATTTAATGACCTCTTCTTAGCAGAAAGAAAAATCATTGTGTGCAGCTTTATCATAACACTGTATGTAATGAGTAGCAGTCCAGAAAAAAGGTATATAAAACTGGATTGAAAGAAAGGAGACTCTTACAGGTTGCTTGCCTTTTTTTATTGCACAGTGGACTACACTCAGACTTCGGCTTTATTTATATAGGTAGAGGTTTTTGGTATAGGACCTCTGTTGTATTTGTTTCAAAAGTAGAAAAGTTCAAGGTGAATGGAACTGAGCACAACAGGAAGAGAGGGATAGTGTTTCGGTTAAGGTATTTGAACGGTGCCTCGGGAGAAATAGATTTTTTTCTCTACCCTTTTTACAGTGTTCAAACATTATGTCATTTATACAAACTAGGATTTTCACATGAGACCAACATTTGTTTCTCATTTGCAGATTACCCATCTTGAGACACTAGAGGTCTTACTTGCAAAAGTGCTGATGCTTGCACATTAAACTAACATTAAAGGAAACTCAATTTTGTGTTTAACTCTGTGCTTTGAAATGATAAGGACTTTAAAAAACCACAAAGTCCCAGAAATGTCGAAGTTGTCACTTAGAAATTGAGATCATGTGGGAATCCTGGTGTATTAATTACCAGTGTAAACTGAGGGTAATGATATGGCACTGCTGTGAGATGTGTTAATTCGTGGGCTGTGATATTATAGTTAGATATCCTTGAAAAAAGTTCATGATGAAGTTAATATGCCTGTGGTCAGTACAGGCAAGTGTGGAGAAAATAATGAGTAAGAATAAATTTCGTGCAACAGCAATTAAAATAAACATTGAACAGATGTATGTTTGGGAAGCACCATTCATACTGTCACCGAAGGAGGCAGGGTTTTGTAGAACGGCTTAGGAAAATTTACGTAGAGATTGCTGATGTATATATGTGCCCAAAGGTTTTGATATTCATAGTGCACAGGATGTTTGAGGCATTTGAAGTGTGTTTTTTTCTTGTTGCAGCCTTAACATCTTGGTTTTTTTAAATACATGAACATAAATATAAAAAACATCCATCACAGTATTTCATATGCAATAAATAAAATACAAATCCATAATAGAAAAATAAGTAAAAATCTCTGCTTTTGGAGCATAAATAAGGTATAAATTAATAAGGATGGGCAGAATCCTTCCTAATGGAGAGTCTGTCCATATTTGACCCCCCATGGGGTATTTCATACCTTCTGAGATGTATGATATTGACACTGCATACTGTTGTAACTGGGCACTTTTCTAATAGAATCACAGAATGGTTTGGGTTGGAAGGGACCTTAAAGATCATCCAGTTCCAACCCCCCTGCCATGGGCAGGGACACTTCCCACTAGCCCAGGTTGCTCAAAGCCTCATCCAGCCTGGCCTTGACCCCCTCCAGGGATGGGGCATCCACAGCTTCTCTGGGCAACCTGGGCCACTGCCTCACCACGCTCACAGTAAATAATTTCTTCCTAATATCTAGTCTAAATCTGCTGTCTTTCAGCTTAAAACCATTACCCCTCATCCTGTTACTACATGCCCTTGTAAAAAGTCCCTCCCCATCTCTCCTGTAGCCCCCTTTAAGGACTGGAAGGCTGCTCTAAGGTCCCCCTGGAGTCTTCTCTCCTCTGGGCTAAACAACCCCAACTCTCTCAGCCTGTCCTTGAGGTGCCTCAAGCCCTCTGACCATCTTCACGGCCCTCCTTTGGACTCGGTCCAACAGGTCCATGTCTTTCTTGTTCTGAGGACTCCAGAGCTGGACACAGTACTCCAGGTGGAATCTCACGAGAGTGGAGTAGAGGGGAGAATCCCCTCCCTCGACCTGCTGGTCATGCTTCCTTTGATGCAGCCCAGGATATGGCTGGCTTTCTGGGCTGCAAGTGTGCATTGCTGGCTCACATTCAGCTTTTCATTGACCAGAACCCCCAGGTCCTTTTCCTCAGGGCTTCTCTCTATCCATTCTCCTCCCAGCCTGTGTTTGTGTTTGGGATTGCCCTGATCCATGTGCAGGACCTTGCACTTGGTCTTGTTGAACTTCATTAAGTTTTCACGGGCCCATCTGTCCAGGTCCCTCTAGATGGCATCCCTTCCCTCCAGCATGTCGACCACATCATACAGCTCAGTGTTATCAGCAGACTTGCTGAGGGCGCCTTGTCTCCAACAAAGATGTTAAACAACACTGGTCCTGATACCAACCCCTGTGGAATCCCACTCGTCACTCGTCTCCACTTGGACACCAAGCCATTGACTGCAACTCTTTGGTTGTGACCATCCAGCCAGTTCTGTATCCACTGAGTGGTCCTTCTGTCAAATCCACGTGTCTCCAACTTAAGAGACAAGGATGTCATGTGGGAGAGTGTCAAAGGCTTTCCACAGGTCCAGGTAGATTATGTCAGTTGCTCTTCCCTTATCCACCAACGCTGTAACCCCGTCCTAGAAGGCCACCAGATTTGTCAGGCATGATTTGCACTTGGTGAAGCCAATGGGCCTCAGCAGAATCTCCAGGAGGATCTGCTCCCTGATCTTGTTGGGCACAGAGGTGAGACTGACTGGCTTGTACTTCCCCAGGTATTCCTTTTTTCCCTGTTTTAAAAAATGGGGGGCTTATGTTTCCCCTTTTCCAGTCAGTGGGAACTTCACCTGACTGGCACGACTTCTCCAGTGTGATGGATAGTGGCTTAGCAACTTCATCCACCCATTCCCTCAGGACCCATGGGTGCATCTCATCAGGTCCCTTGCCTATTTTTCTGCATACCTCTACTGAAATCACTCTGCTTAGTCATTTCAATTATACTGGAGAATAACAGAATAATTCAGGTTGGAAGTGACCTCTGAATGATATTTTTGGTAAACTGCCTCTCAAAGCAGGGCCAAGTTAGTTCAGATTGCTCAGGGCTCTATTCAATTAAGTTTTGAATATCTCCAGTGATGGAAATTTCACAACCTCTCTGGGCAGCCTGTTGCAGTGTTAAACTACCCTTACAGTAAATTTTCTTCCTAAAACGTCATCAGAAATTCCCTTTTTGCAACTTGGGTCTGTTCTGTTGCTTTTTCTCCTATTAGTGTGCACTTCGGAGAAGGACGTGGCTTTGTCTTCTCCATACATTCCCATTAACTGAAAACAGCTACATGATCTCCCCTGAGCCTTCACTTTGGGCTGAACAAACCTAGTTATCTCAGACTCTCCTCATAAGTATTGCAGCCCCTTAACTATCCTGGTGGCGTGCTGGACTCACTCCAGTCTGTTGGCGCGTTTTGTGTACAGGAGAGCCCCAGACTGAACACAAGTACTCCATCTGTTGTCTTATCACCTTATCTTCTGCTGTTGTGGGTACTGCGTCAGTCCTACAGTATCTGCCTCTAGAATCAGGGACCTGGGAAGCCTGAGAGCAAAGCTTACCATTGAAGACTCAGGCAAAGAAGCCACTGAGTACCTAAAACTTTTCCATATCCTTTGTCACTAGGTCCTCTGCTGCATTGACCAGTGGGCCCACAGTTTCCTTAATCTTTGTTTTGCTGCTGATAGACCTTTTTTTTAAAAAACAAACAAACAAACAAAAACCCCAAAAAAACCCAAAACCCAACAACAAACAAAACACCCAACAAAACCAAAAACCAGAAAACTTTTCTTGTTGCTCCTAACATCCCTTTTCTAGTTTCAACTTCAGCTGAGTTTTGCTTTCTTAATTCCATCACTTGCACTTAGCCAGTGTCTCTGTATTCCTCTTTGGAAGCCCATCACCACTGCCATCTGCTCTGTATTTAATTTCTGTGTTTCAGCTCAGTTGAGAGTTCTCTGTTCACCCCTTCTTCTGTGCTTGCTTGACTTCCTGCATGTTGGAAAGGACCACTGATGTGCTTTGAGGCAGCTGTCCTTGAAGATCAACCAGTTCTCCTGGCCCCCTTTGCCCTACAGGGCATTCTCCCTGTAATCCTGCCAAGCAGATTCCTGAACAGGCCAAAATCTTGCCTTCTGAAGCCCAGGGCTATAATTCTGGTGTTCACCTTCCTCACCTTCACCTCAGAATTTTAAACTCTGCTATCTTGTGGTTGCTACAGCCACTTTGTCATTTGGATCCCAGCTGTCCTTACTCCTCAGAGATGATTCTGTTGTTATAGAAGCTAAAGCCCTGCCTACAATACCAGCTAGGCAGCCAGACAGTGACCTGGATGATTCATCCATGTCATAGTTTTGACCCTGTCTGGTAGTCAAACACCACACAGCCACTCGCTTACCCTCCCCCCTCCATGGGGATAGGGGAAGAGCATTAAAGAGGTGAAGGGAAAAGAGACTTGTGGGTTGCGATGAACAATTTTGTAACTAAACTACAATAACATTGAAAATAATAATGATAATAATATATACAAATGTACAAATGAGTGATACACGGTGATATTGCTCACCACCCAATGACCAAGGCTCAGCCCATTCCCGGCTAATGATCCTGGAGCAGGGAGAGTCCTGAAACTGTACACCCAGAATGGAGCTAAGAGCCCAAGTGTCCAAGAGACCGAGATGACCCTGAGAGAGGGGCGACCCAGAGGGAGACAACCCAAAGCAAGAGACCACCCAGAGAGCTAACCTGGGAAAAAAGAGAGTACTTCTGGACAGATCTGCATCTATATACTGGGCATGATGTGCATGATATGGAATAGACTATTGGCCAATTTGGGTCTCAGTCCTAAACCTAAGGTCAAATCCTAGGCTAGTGATTGGGGCTGTGCTCC